AAAAAAAAAAAAAAAAAAAAAAAAAGAAAGAAAGAAAGAAAAGCAAGAGGCTACGAAAGTCCCAGTCAACAGTTAAGACTCACAAGTTGAAGAAACCCTATAGGTCCAATCTATCAACTGAGGTAGATTTCTTGAATTTTTAAAATTTTTAATTCATCCTGCAGTAGGCACGGGGAGGGTGGTCCCCTTCTGGCCCAGCAGCTGCAGCAGATGGAGCCTAGGTGTGTGGAGCAGTGGATGCATCTCAACACAAGCCCATGAGGGGTTCTCTCACACTCTGGGTAAGAGGTTGAGTTTAAAACAAAACATGAACAGCAGGAGTTTAGAGCAGGGCTACAGGTGCAGCAACATTCCTCGTCTGTCATGGATAATGGACTTGAGGATCAGGCTCTGACTGGAATCCCGCCTCTGAGACAAACCACACCTGGGACCCTGAGCAGCTCCCACTGGCTTCTCCCAGCGGTCTGGAACGCCGCACACCTATGGACCAGTTTTCTCGATTGGAGGGCTGGGCTAAATATTTTGTGCATGGAGTTGTGAATCAGCTCTTTAAAGCTCAGTTTCCCCTGGATGGGGCTAATTTCACATGCTACTGGGTAGACATAACAGGACTGGCTCTGTATCTTGTTCTTTTAACTCTGAAGAAGGGAGGCAGTGTGCCCACAGGTGTAAACAAGGAGAGGGGAGCTGGAGACAGGGGAATACTATTTTTCATTTTGACCTTTGGTTTTCCAAAAAGTAAATTTTATGATAGATGGTCATAACAGTTCAAGTACAAATATCTATACAGTTACATTTACCAAGCAAGATGTAGCTGTTTTCCATTCAGATGAACCTGAACGACACATTGTGTGCTTATTTGCTCCTTTGAAATCAAGATGGAATAATCCCAGTAGTTATAGTATTACTAGATCATCATTATTTTTGCAGTGGAATTGCTAGATGATGATGATTATTTGCAGCAGTAGTGGGAATGTACCTAGGCAAGCATCCTACTACTAAGCTGCATCCCAGCTCTTTTTTATTTTGAGACAGGATCTTGCTAAGTTGTTTACGCTGGCCTCAAACTCCCAATCCTCCTGCCTCAGCCAAGTAACTAGGCTATAGGCTGGTGCCACCATGTCTGACTGATTATTTTAATAACACAGTATGTACAAATTTATTTTCATGTAAGATGAGTGCCATAATTAGAAACAAATAATTGCCTTCAAGTTTACTAGTTTGTTTACTTTGGTCCTCTCCAACTGTTATCTTTGAGTTTTTTCTACTGGAAAATGGAACAGAGTTTGTCCTTGCAACTGGGCTGTCCTTAAAGGACTGTTACTCATTGATTTGTTCAGGCATGCTTGGAATACAACTAAAGCCTAAATTTGTACAATCCAAGGACGCTCATTTAAACATAAAGGAAAAAGACAACTCCATTGTCACGTCTGGTCTTTTGCACTTCCCTCTAGTAGGGTTTCTCAACCCAAGTACTACTGGCATTGTGGGCTGGATAATTCATTGGTGTAGGGATCTGTTTTTGAGCGTTGCAGAATATTTAGCAGCACCCCTGGCCGCAAACAAACCTGTCTCTACACTTTGCTAACTGTTCAGTGGGCACAAATTATCCCTTGCTGAAAATTTAAAAAAACATAACCCCTTCCCACTCTTGATAATAATCAATGTTCCAGTGATAAAACACTAATGCTTGAGGTAGTCCCTCCAAGTGTCAGCTGTTTAATTTGGGCTAGAAAGGGAACCTTATGTATGCAGCTATTGAATAGACCAAGGAATCCTCATGAAGGACCCCTCTAACAAGAAATTTAGAGGGCCGGGGGGTTTAGCTCAGTGGTTCCGCCGCTTGCCTCGAAAGCACAAGGTCCCCACTTTGATCCCCGGTAAAAAAAAAAAAAAATTAGGAAACGCACACATTATTGCCAGAACACCATGGTAAGTAACAACGAATAAAGCTCCAGGAACTGGGATAGGCGCTATATCTGAATTAGCTTATTTCTTACACTTTTCTTCATAAACCCACTTAATCGTTAGGGAAACTGATGCACCACGATAAACCAACGAGCAAAGGCCGCAGCTGATAAAGGGTAGGGGTACTGTGTTTGCGCTGTCCTCCCGCACCCTGTATTCTCCCTGTCTCTTTCTATGGCATGGGAGTGACCTTCAGAAGTCTCTTCAGGGAGTCGCTTGGTCTCCACTCACGAGCCCTTCCCTTATCTTCGGGGTTTTCGAAATTAGGTCTCTTGCTCAGTGGGCGAGCAGAGACTCCACTTCCTAACCCAGACTGCAGCCCTCCGGGTTCAGGTGAAGGGCGAACCGAAATCCAAGGCCCGGGACCCCACACCAGGTACTTCCGGGCCGCACCACCTTGCTGACAGACTGCTCTCCAAACCTTCCCCAAACCCGCCAGCTGTGCTCACCGAGAAGGACCCGGCTCTCGTTAGTAGCTTCATGCCTCAAAACTGTTCCGACCCACAGTCAGACCCAGCACCACCGATTTAAGGAAAGCAAGATGGTGGCGGAGGCCGGGAATTTCCCAGCGTCCCCAGCGAAGCGCTTTCCCACAACCCCCCTAAGGAGGACTCTCTATACAGACGCGCTCTACTGCTCCCTGGAGAAGGTTGGATCGGTCCAACTCCTCCAAGACGCGGGATAGGGAGACACATAATTTCATAAAAATACAGAAGATAATTTAGGTTACATCTTTGGAGTTATTCTCCTTGACTGAATATGGATCCTTTTCGAATTACGTCTGACAGCCCGTCAGAACTCCCCCCGCCACTTTGGACTTTTCCGACCTGAATTGTCCAATCAAACAGCGACATTTCCAGAATTTTACCGGCTCTCTTTGGGCTTCCGGCGCCTTGCAAGCTGGTCCCTCTAGGAGGTATCTCTTTTAACCGAAGTTCTATGGAGGTCTTGGGCATCGGAGCTTGGCAATTGCTTCTTTCTTGGTGAACCCCTTACTAGGTCATTAGTTCTGTGCAGACAGAGCTCTTGCGCGACGTTGCCGTTGTGTCCCCTAAAACAGGCTGCGGACACTTTAATGTCGGTTTTCAACCTGAGGTGATCATTGCAAAGGTCTCCGATCTCGGGATTTGCATCTTAGTCTCGCCTTATAAAGAAAACAAAACCCCAAATTAGTTTTTGTTTTTAGTAGGAGGCGGATGAGCGGAAATCTGCATATTGAAAAAGGCAGTCAAAGATACAGGAGAGGGAAAAATTGATTATGGCTGTTAACTGAAGGTTACGTGTCTGGCACAGTAGCACATTAAAGGCGAAGGCGTGGTCCCTGCCCCTCAAGGACGTAGATCTTGTGTTTTGTTTGCCACGTTAGAAAACATCAGTATCTTCGAGAGGTTTTTGGAAATCCAGCATCTATCAGTCCCATATATGATCTGGATCTGTATTTGTAAGGCCTAATGTGATTCGAATGCACATTAAAGTTTCCGAAAGGCTGTAGACATTACAAGGCACAGGCAAACTTGTGCCTTCTTTGGCTTGTATATAACTGTTTACAACTGCCTCAGACTGTAACAAGCGGATGTAGTCAACCTGTGCCACCCCAATTTCTGTGCCTTCAGCCACCCCAACTTCCCCAATCCATACAGTAGTTCCCCAAAATGTGGTAGACCTGGTATATGAATAAACATTGTTCCATTTTAATGACTACATATTTTTTATTATGCCACGCAATCCTAGTAAATGAATTCCTCTTTAAATGCATTTACTAAAATATGTTGGTTTAAAAAAAGGTTAAGTAACGATGATATAGAGGTATGGCACAAATCATGAATGTGCTATCCAATGAACAAAATTTGGGACACACTGCTCTGATTCTTGCCTACTTCAGTGTCCTACCCATGTTTTTCAGGTTAAAGTTCAAATTTATTAATATGTTATACAAAGCTCTGTCTTCAGTATCTCCCCTTTTCCCCCGTAATAGGGATTGAACCCAAAGCCTTTTTACTGAGCTACATCCCAGCCCTTTTTAAAATTTGAGACAGAGGATTGCTAAATCACTAAGTTGTCCAGGCTGGTCTCTAACTTGCCATCATCCTGTATTGGCCTCAGCCTCTCAGGATTATAGATGTACTCCACCATGCCCAGCTATCTCCAGTACTTTTAAACCCCTGCCTTAATTTCTGTACCTCCAAGAATTCCGGTCATTGGAACTTCATCATCCAACACTTCAGGTCAAGTGGGCAACACACCTCCCTGCAGGTGCACCTTTCCTATGTAGGGACCTGCGCCTATTTATACTGTTGCCTTATTCTTAGGTTATAACATCCACAAATGAAACATAACTGTGACTCAAATATCCTAAAGGGGGAAATTTTGTTTCCAAAGGTGGTAGAATTTGAAACAATAAGTCATGATATCTGCTACATAAATCAAAATCTTAACTCTAGTTAAATTTGCAAAATTTCCTAGTAAATTTACAATTACAATGCAGGCGTGCCATCTTGTGGACACATCCTGCTGCGCTGTCCCCAACTTCACGACGGCAGCTTCTGCCACAACTGGAGTATTTTATTGCAGAAGAAAAGAGAATCCTTGAAACTTTCTGCACAGGAGATACTGAAAGTCTTGGAAGATGAAACAAGGAGATAGTAAGAGAGCAGACCTGGAAGAGCAAATGAGTGCATTTTTAGAAAGCTCTAATTGTTAGTTTTAGTAATGAGTTCAATTGGGCTCTAAGGAGCCCAGGTTCTATCCTTAGCTGGGGTGGGGTGGGTGGGTAGATGTACACATGCTGGGCAAGGGAGAATGTGAAAAGAAATGAGGTGACAGTGAGGGGAAAACAGGCCATAGGAGAGTGGCTTGACTTCGTACTTGGAAACACTACCCTGATTAATCATGGCTCTTTTCAAATGCATAATTTTGATATTAGCATTTCCTTCCCCATTCATCTCAGAATTTTACCCAAACACTATCACTGATGAAATCTTCCCTGGCTACTGTAGACTGGAGATTTTTCTTCGTTCTCTGAAATTTACTGACTTACTTTGGTGATTTTTATTCATATTTTATCTTTATTAAATAAAACATTGTCAGAATTTTCACACATAAACAAATTTAATCAATTCCCATTTACCTGTCACCCAATTTCAAGCATAAAGTTTTTCCTTTGATTTTAAGCTCTTTAATGAAGGGAACTATGAATTACAAATGTTTAAGATGATTTAAATCATAATGGCAGGTTCTTTTTGACATTGAAGAGTGTATTTCAAGCATAAAGTTTTTCCTTTGATTTTAAGCTCTTTAATGAAGGGAACTATGAATTACAAATGTTTAAGATGATTTAAATCATAATGGCAGGTTCTTTTTGACACCTTGAAGTGGCCAAAGTCTGAAGTCAGAGCAGCCTTAATAAAATGTTTATTCTATTTTCTCTTAAATATGAACATTTCCTATGAGCATTAAAAAAAAAAATCTCTTCACTTTTCTCTTGGTTCTATATAGGATCTAAGTTTTATATGTACTTCATTGCATGATGTCAGATATCAAGGGGAGAAGCCAAGTGAGATCACTTGTACCGTAACACTGCAAAGACGAAGGGAGGTACTTCAGTGTGAACATTTGGATTAGTCTAGGAGATCACTATGCTGTAGTTCATACAATGTCCAGTCAAACTTCATGATAGCAATAAAACCTAAAAATTTCAAGTTAGGCTGGTTTGTCTTCCTTTTAAATATTTTAAGACTCATGTAGCAAAAGCTATTTTGACAAGATCTTGACATTGGTTAAGTTTAGGACATAAAGGAAGAAAAATATGTTTTATCAATCTGTTGACAGTTGGTTTGAATGGCTCCATGACTGACTGAAGATACACTGCCACCTGGTAATACGTTGTTCTGTAATATTGTACTCGTAATATTTTCTACATACCACCTTTTGTTGCTTGTTTTGAGACAAGGTCTCAAAGGTAGCCCAGGCTGGCCTGGAACTGAAGATCTTCCTACCTCAGCCTCCTAAGTGCTGGGATTACAGGGCTGTGACCCCACGCCTAGCTTCTCTTATCACCTTCAAACCCTCATTAATGAGACTTTGCTGGTAGGCCTACCCTATTCCCTCCACCCACAAGCTAAACATGTCACTTTCATCAAAATTATGTGGGTATTTTTTAAAATGAAGATTCCTGGGTTCCACACTACACTTGATTTAGTCAGAAACTCTAGAATTTGGAATCCAGTAATCTGCATTTTAAATAAATGCCCTTAGGTGATTCTAGCAAGTAATGTTTTAGGAACAGCTGGCTTCACCTAGTATGAGGACATACCAGAAGTATGCACCGTGAAATTCTCACTTTGTCACACACAATAGTAGTAAAGAAACAGAAAACTTGCAGTAATTTTTAGTTTCACAATTTACAACCCTTCTGCCTACTTTTGGTGAATTCATTTTAGATTTTGGATTCTGCTTACTCTTCCTTGTACCTGTCTGCCCTTCGCAACCCTTTGCTTCCCTTCTGTCTGCCTGTTGAAGGAATTTCAGATCTCTAGAAATATTCAAGGGCTGAACTTCAGCTGTTGCTTTCATTCCTTTTCTATCCTTCATCCTACAGTACTTTTTTCTTTTCATTAAGTTTTTAAAAATATCTGCATTTGGAAAGGCCTTTGATTATTTATTTATTTATTGGGATCAAACTTGGGACCTTGCGTTTGCAAGACAGGCAGCAGAACCAAGGAGCTAAATCCCCGGCCTGGCCTATGATTTTTTTGGTAACTAGGGTAATTATATAATTTATTATCTAAACTGGGGCAGTTTTGAGAATAAAGGGAGAGAACTACAAGTAATTAGGAAAAAATAAGCTGAAACGATGTGATACATCAATTCCACTCTTAGACATATACTCAAGAGATATGAACCAAGATCTGTCATGTAAAGGTACAAGATCCCAATAATGAATGTAACTGTACTGTATACCTAAAATGTACCAATAAACTCAATAAAAAGGAAAAAAAAACATACTAAAAAAATAAAATTTAAAATTAAAAAAAAGATATGAAGGCATATGTTTACCCAACAGCTTGATTTTGCATTATTTACAGTAGCCACAATGTGCAAGCAACCTAAACCGGTGAGTGGGTAAACAAAATGTACTGTTATCTATAGAAGAGAATAAACAAAGTGAAGGAAGTAATTTTCATTTTTATTTATTTTTGGTACCAGGGATTGAACTCCGGTTCTTGTGCTTTTGAGGCTGGCAGTGGAACCACTGAGCTAAATCCCCAGCCCCTAGGTAGTGATTTTTTTTTTCCCTAGGTAGTAATTTTTAAAAAGAACAAAATACTGATACATGCTAAAACATGGATAAACTTTGTATAGTCAGAATAATGGATCCAAAGAATTCCATATTCTTGTTTCTGGCACCTATGAATGAAGCATGTTGCAGGGGAAAGGGACTTTACAGATGTGATTAAGTTAAAACTCTTAAGATGGGGACGATTACCTGGATGAAACCAACATAACTACAAAGATCCTTACTGGATGTACAACAGAAGGGCAGACTGGTATAACCACAAGCCAAGGTAGACTCTAGAAGCTGAAAAAATAATGGGTTTTCCTCTCAAGCCTCCTGAAGGGACACAGCTGTGTTGACATTTCAAGTATTGGCCCTGTAAGTTCTGTTTTGTTCTTTTCAGAAGTCTCTGACAGTTTTATGGTGTTTTAAGCCATGAAATGTGTGGTAATTTTTTATAGCAGCAATAGACTAGTATAAACCTCATGAATATTATGTAGCGACAAGATCTTGATACAAAAACCCACGATTCCACTTGTACGAAATTCCAGAGAAGGCAAATCTATAGAGACAGAAAGAAAAGTGGTTGCATGGGACTGTGGGGGTGTGAACAGGTACTAATTATAAATGGACACTAGAGATTTTACTGGGGTGATGGAGTACTCTAAAACTAGGCTGTAGAACTTGGAAAATTTACTAGAAATCAATTCAATTGTATTTTTAAAACATGTAAGTTATATGATATATAAACTACACCTCAGTGAAGTTGCTGAACAGTGAGGCAGATGTTTACTCCAACTACAAGACAATGGTTCATCAAAATTTTCGGAGATCTTTTACAGAAGATGCTTTGGTCTTTATTCATTGAC